TTGGTCGTCAGTGCAAGGGTGAGGGTGACTTGGAGGAGGTCATTTGAATCGGAGATGAAAACGTGTGGGCAGACTTGGAGCTAGGTGAAGACTCTAGCAGAGAACCGAACGCAGTGGAGACGCATGGCTGAAGCCCTATGTTCCTCTAGGAATTAAAGGAAACAATAATAATAATGTTTAAGGACGCAAAGTGCTGGTGGGGGTCTTTAAGAATTTTGACGCCGCCCACCCCGTACAAAGTTATTAGATACCTGAGTGATTGTTGCAGTCATCCAAGATAGTTGTCACTGTAGAAAACGAACACTTTTATCTTGCAAGTGAATGAATAGAGGTTTAAAGTAGGGAACACCTCCAACACCTCTTCACAGATGTAAGCATTGAGAAGTTCTAATCACAGCCCTAGCGCTGTAATACTTACCAATGCTTACAGATTGATGATTAAAATCCATTAATATTTTTCTTATAATAGGCAGTCGAATCCCGAAGTTTTGAATTTTATGAACGAGATGAATTTCGGCGATGACTTTGGAAAACTTGAATCATACTATTTTGATCATCTTACTGAAGTAATTCAGTCAGTTCAACCGGAGGGATATGCTGTTACACCAGTTGTTTGGCAGGATGTTTACGAGAATGGCTATCGTGTACGTGAGTGCTTTTACCTTTCTCGAATAATCTGGGTGATTTTCTATGTAAAACTATGATCCCTCTTTTGAATTAACTAGTCTTCTTTGAATTTCCGCAGTTGTAGAAATATCTTTGCTTGTATATTGTTTCATTATAACTGGAATAACTTCAGGTGATTCATAGGAGGTAGTAAGTTCCTGCCACACGGAGTTTTACTAAGAAAATTCATTCTTCGTGGTCTGAGGGCAGGAAACCAATCTCTGTGTCCAACTGTATGGGTGACAAAACTTCCTTCAGACACACTTCCTTCAAAGACTGGAAAAAGAGGACTGTTCTCCGAGGAATCTGTGTTTCTATTCAACATTTTTGACATGAAAAACTCAAACTTTCCTCAGCAGTGACGTTAGGCGGCTAGACAGTCAAGGTTACTTTCTAAGTACAAAATAAGCATGTAGAATCAAGTAGAACATTCCCAACAAGATGGAATCAAAACTTTATTCAGAAGAAGTATACATCAGTACCTCTCGCAGACAATCTAAGGTGAGAATGAACGTGATAATAATAATAGTAATAATAATTTCAGAGTCATTTGAAACGTCCCATTAAGTGTTAACATAGTGATTAGATAGTCTAGGAGGGATTTTTCGAACGACCTTTCTATTTTCTATAGTTGGTTTTTAAGGAGTACTGGACGGCTGTTTCATCCTAGTTTGGGAATCATCGGCGGTACTCACTCACTGTACTCTTTAGTTTTCAGTGGTTCTCTAACTAATATCAATCCTTGATCAACTCGTGCCAAACAAAACCAATCGTTACATATCAATTATAGAGAATTAATCTGATGCTCGCTAATGACTTGCTACAGAATGTAGTTTCCTGGAGTTCTAGTGAGAAGTCGTGACCAGTGAGGTCCACCTAGTCACGGGCGAGGATGGATGTCCCACTGATGACATTGGTTGGGGTCGCGCTATATCACGAATTGGTAGAAGTTAGAATTCATGAGCCACTGAATCGGGTCCCAGTGGCTGAATTATATACGAGCCTGCATTGTAACCGGAAGGTCCTGGGTTCGTGTCCTGTAGCTGAGTGCATACTGGTGATGATTCCCAAACTAGGATGAAACAGCGGCTGTCCAGGACTCCCTGGTTTTCAGTGGTTCTCTAACTGATATCAATCCGTGATCTCTCTGTTACATTGATCTGTGTAATATTTTGTTACACTAACGTTTTTAACTTTAGAGTAAGGTCTCTCTTACTTTGTGTCCTGAAGATTACCGTCACACATGCATTCAAAGATGTTGCAGAAGATCATTGAGTTTATTCTTGGTAACCAACAGTTATTCATCTGGTTTCGGCTGTGGTCCGTGATTTCGACAGTTGACAGAGTGTATAGAATGTAACAAAGTATACTTAAAGGAGAAATGTTCCGGATATAAGAGGATAGTGGTTGTGAAAACAAAAGAATATCGCTCACCTCATAATAATAATAATAATGTAAATTATTCCAAAAACAGTACTTATAATACAGCATGGAATTCTCAGAATATATCAAAAAACTGCACCTAATTTACTTGATATATCAATAAAGGTAACCACAGGAATTTATCCACCTTTAGAGTAGGAACAAAGTCAAAACTGTGCAAAGGATAAAATGAGAATAACAATTACAACAGTAATAATAAAGGCAATAATATCAGTAAATTTGTTTCAAACAGTACTGCTGACAGAACTTGGAAATTTTACTAGATTATAGAGCATAAATCTAATGTTCTCCTGATACAGTATAGTGAAGGGGAAAAACAAAACAATAACAATTATTGCACAGCCTAAATGATGTTTACACTTATGAGAAAATAAACAAAAATTGAGAGGATTATGAATATAGGAAGAATAATAATAACAGTATTATCATTGTTCCCTTGGGTTCCTAGTGGAACATAGGGCTTCAACTACACGTCTCCACCTCCTTCTCTCTTCTGCTGTACTTTTCACCTGCATCCATGTTAGTCCATACTGTTTCAACTCCTCTTCACACGATCTCCTCCATGTCACCTTTGGACATCCCACTCGCCGCTTCCCTTTCGGGTTCCACTCGAGCACTGGCCTGACGCGCGATGTCACCCAGCGGCCTCCTCAGAGAGTGTCCAATTCATCTCCACTTTCTCCTGCATATTTGTTGGGCGATTGGTTCATTATCCTAGAGGAGATTGGTTTCCACTGCATGAGACCTTTGGTTGCTGTTGGTGACATCATGATGGCTACTCCCTCGGTGTGCTCGTGGCTGTCCTCTGGGTGACCAGAATAGACTACTGTCTCTCCAGTTAATAGTTGGCACCTTCTGCATCCGTTTCATCTGCTCCCGCAGATTCCCAACACTTCTATTTTATATTTTCTCATTTCTGCGGCTACCTTGGCAGCCTTTCCAGTTTCGTACATTGTACGAATATTCCACGTCCCCATCCTTATTTTTGCTTTCATCGAAAGAAGGAAGGCACATCGGCTGACTGGCTCCCCGAAGGCTTTCACCAGCCTGCGTCATTTCACTTCCCCGATCCCAGCGAAAAATAAGGTTATTGTTGATATTTTTAGCATTTTGATAGATTTATGCGTTGAAGTTTCTGTAGCAATTTGATTAAGTTTTGGGAGTGGAGTTGCTAGCATCAGGCCCCAACCCTTCCTCTTTATCCGGGCTTGGGACCGGCTAGAAAACTAGCGAGCTAGTAATCTAGGCGAGGTTAATAATAACAGTAAAGCTTTAATTTATGAGGGTGGAGAAAATTGCTTATATCCTAGGGGAAAGACGGTTAGTTAGTTAGTTGGTTCGTGTATGACACTATTTTCATTACGTAAAATACTTGCCAAATATGGTATCGTGGAATTTTTATAACTAGACGTGCGCGCGTAAAGTCTTTCGAAATGACTTCTTGTTCTACTTGACGGGGTACAAGGTGAAAGCTGCGGGGAAAGTGGATGCTCACAGTTTGACAAAATCCCTTTGGTAAATTTATTGCATGAAATGAAGTGCCTATCATCAATGATGATGTCGGCGGTATGGCCGAATGAGATAGGATACCACTTACCCTACTTACTGTATTTAGAGTTCTACAAAGTTTGACATAGTCATTTTTAAGCAACCCAGGAGAGAATAAGGGTGAAGAATAAAGAAGAATAGGTAAGATGAAACAGTCGACAGACTGTAAGAGGAGGGTTTGAGTGCCTTAACTTCTCAATGTAAAATGTCAGGCAGAATATTTTTATAGAATTCGGTAAGACATGAGAAGACCAGGATAGATGTGAAAAAGAATTAGTCCAATATACCTAACATCAAACTCGGTTTCTTTGTCGAAATCATCAGCTTTGCAACGGTCATTGAAATTAACAGCTTCATTTGACTTTCTTTTACATCGGAAACTGAAATCAACAGTCTGACATTTGAAAGGATTTAGTGTAAGACCATTAGACAAAGACCATTTACTGACTCCTGATAGAAAGCTGTTCATCTTAGTGCAGTCTGACTGGGAGCTAACAGGCAAAGAAACAGTTAAATCCTCCGCATGCATGTTGTCACCCGTTCGAAAGCGTTTATCATTCAATCACGAGATGAAAATTCAATCCGATGTGATGCTAGAAGTGTGAAGAATGAATTAAAGGAGTTCCCATTGACTGAGATATAAATACCAGGGACTTGAAATCATTGTATCGCAGAGGAATGTTCTCGAAGTATTCAGAAATGTTTCATAAGATAGTCGACTCCTCATTTTGTCATCTGATAATCGTCCGTGTTAATTCGTTTGTGATTCATATCTTTGAGGAGATTCATGTTGGTATTGTAAACCATAAATTTTTCGAATTGGACTTTTTCTCATCATGCACATGATAATCACATTGTTCGAGTGAAACTTGACCAATGCAGTGACCTAAAGGCATGTTTACTGCCTTTGTGATGTAGTGGAGGTATATGAATAGTTTTTGGATTCAAAATATAATCTCAAATAAGTCTCAAGTTGTAGCGTAGATGACTCCACTGTATCAGTGCACATACAATTGACTTGTCATAATAAATCCGTCGATCTATATCTGCGCAACATTTGTCATCAGTCCTTTGAAATCAACCAGCTACTCAGGTCATTTTCATATATCATATCAAGTTGTCAAGTCACACACACACACAATTCATGCTTCTACTAATTCCACAACTAACTTCCTACTTTTCTTTCCTTCAGCCAAGTAATGCCACTGTGATGCATGTTCGAAAGGCAGAAGATTGGCCGCAACTTGTTAAATCTATCACATCAGATGGTTATCGAGTTATATTGTCATCATGTTGGCTAATCAACAATGTTAATTTCTCTGGTGATTGGTATGATTACTATGAATGTGATCCTGGAGCATTTGAAGGTAAGCAAATACTGAGGATAAGTATAAAAACGGATATGCTTCATTTTTATTTCGACCATTTTGTCTATATTTGTCTTGCTAGTCTCATTTGTGTCGTTAGAACTTATTCTGATTGTATCTTTTTTATTCCTTCACGTTCCCTGTGGAACATAGGGCGGCTTCAAGCTAGAGTCTCGAAGTTTCGGTAGAAGTGGTGTTTATTTTTACGAGATTGGGTTGCTAGCCAGCCTCATGCCCAACCTTTCCTCTTTACCAGCTTTATTTCTAGGTTAGCGAGGTAAAGGAGTGCGTCGGTGGCCAGGGATCGGACCCCGGACCATGTACATGGCTGGCGAGCATCCTAACCGCCGTGCCACTGACGCACTCTCTTTCTCTCAAATGTTTATCCGCAGAGGAAGTAAAAAGACTTATGAGCTCATCTCATAAATCGTTGAATATCCTGGATGTAGTGTCACATATATTCCGGAGAGTTTATACGCTATGTGACCTTTCAAATTATCTTAGACGGCAGATGTTTCTTAGCAAATAATGCCACCGAAAAAAATGCATCCTGAAAATCTATTGAGTAAGCGCCTCAGTTCACAGTTATATTCATTAAAAACGTCATGTTGTAGTTAATTCAACTCCTAAAGGGCGCTATTCTTAATAATTGCATAATCTTGAGTATAAATAGACTGGTTCAGATGACCTACAATAAATGGGGGGTGCTTTTCCACAAATCGAGCATTTAGCTTTAAAAAAATTCATCAAACTTGTCTAAATAATAACAGCTCACAGTTAGATATCAACTATACTATTTATTCAAATCCCTACAAAACTTATAATTTGAAAATCATTCTCTGGAGCATTAGTGGCCACTACATGGATGTTTTGAAGTTCTGTTTGAAAATCTTGAGTGGTTGGTTCCGCTCTATTATTGGTCTTGGTTGGTTGAGGCGCTTTTTCATGAATGGACAGAAGTTATAATTCATGGGTCATTGGATTCTAGAACATTGGCTGAATGGTCGTCAAGCTGACTTGTTGATCTGGAGGTGCATATTTCGATCTCCGCTGAGGTTATGCGTGAGCACCGCTGAAGAGTCTAGACGTCTATCATTCTCTCACTGTTTCTGCTTCATAAAGAAATCCATATTGATGCAGTATTTCTGCTGATACTCTCTTCCCATCATAACAGTTTATCTTTGAGTGGTTGTACTACAAGTGTCCTACACCTGTTCACACTGTGTTTGAAGATTACACCATATCATTCAGATATCAAACAGTTTACTAGACGCATAACATTCTGTCCTTCTTTGGACCCAAGTGATCTATCCGTATGTTTTCCACAATTTAACTAGTTAGTGTCTCGAAGGAAAAGCGGCAGTTTCATAGTGGCTGGCCTTATACAATCACTACCAGCTGCCTGCTTATAAACTTATCATTAATCAATCATGATAGATACCTACCTTTCAGATATATCCTTTCCTTCGTAAAACCTGTAGGAACTAGCCTTATTTTATTGTGCTCAGCATCCAAATTGCTACATAATCCCATTCTATTTGTTTAATTGTCCAAGGTACTGAAGACGAACAACAACTGGTTGTTGGTGGAGAAGCAATTTTATTTGGAGAATATGTGGATGAGTCGAATCTTTTCACACGTTCATGGTGAGTATTACTTACTGTCTATATTTCCAAGGGCATGAAAATACACCATTTATGAATAACTTTTGTGGTAAATGATGACATTTTGTAACTGATAACGATAATTGTCTGTTTTTTGGTAAAATGTTTGTCTGAAGTCGAAGCTGTTGTGGAGCGGAGGACTATTTATTCTGTGTGATGCATTTGCTTCGATTTTAAGGCGTACTGAGACCACACGATTCCAGATTCAAATATGACTACTCTAGATTGATTGTCATTTGTTGATGTGACATAAACAGGGTGTTAACCGGACCTATTTAACATTGTAATGTATGCGGCTCCAATTTGTTATAAGCGTAGACGTTTAACGAACTGCTTAATACGTCATTTGGTTGACCATGTGAATGTTTCCTTTCTTTGTAACTACAGTGATCACTGACGAGTGACTAACTTAAGTACCCTTCGCAGCATATGGTGGTTTACCCATCATCCTGAGTTGGCATCTCACGATAATCTGAAATCTCTGAATGCATTTTAAATAACCTCGACTAGACTTAAACTTAATCAACAGCTGTCTTCGCTCTATACTGAACATCAGATGGCCGGAAAGAATCACAAACAAGAAACTATGGGAACAAACAAAACAAGAACCAATCGCTCAACAAATATGCAGGAGAAAGTGGAGATGGATTGGACACTCGCTGAGGAGGCCGCTGGGTGACATCGCGCGTCAGGCCAACGCTCAAGTGGAACTCGAAAGGGAAGCGGCGAGTTGGTCGTCAATGCAAGGGTGACTTGGAGGAGATCGTGTGAAGAGGAGTTGAAACAGTATGGACTAACATGGATGCAAGTGAAAAGTACAGCAGAAGAGAGAAGCAAGTGGAGACGTTCAATTGAAGCCCTATGTTCCACTAGGAACCCAAGGGAACAATAATAATAATAGACTTAATGATAATGAACAAATGAAATTCACATATCCGAGTTAAGATTTAATTTTTTGGCAGCGAACATTTTGAGTTTTATTTTAAATCTGATGTGTCTGACGTATATGGGACCAGACTTCGAGCAAAGCCTCTTGAAAGAGCCAAACATGCGCAGAACTCATTTGGTCATATTTCTATCTTTGAAGGCACATTCAATTGTGTTCTGGAATGTACAAGGTGGAATGTTTCGACTAATGACTCACATAGGCATATGAATTTCAGCTTGTGAACTGCTGAATAGATATTCAACTTGTCAATCGTAGCAACACATCCAGTACAATAAGGCAAATACTCCGGTTGTCTCTTCTATGCTATAGAGAGGTCAAGTGCATGAAACAATTTGATTAGGCATCATGTAGCTTTCCATCTATTTCGTCACAATAAAACCTCTAGCATACAGTATATGACAGAAGCATGATGATAAAAAGTCATCATTGTTGACCAGCTCGAATCTTTTGCCTTTATACGTCTGCTAATCATTACACATCAATACAAAGTAATTGGTCAAATTCAATTTGTTAATTTATCATCCACACAAAAGTTATACAACAACGGGAAATTCAGTTATGTTTAAAAAGAATTGTTAGTATGGTGAATTCCTCTGAAAACACAACCTTCTAACCTTTTTTTTTAATTTACTCTCAATAGGCCTGATAGTGCAGTTATAGCTGAACGTCTTTGGTCACAAGGTGAATTTGATGTTGATGAACTTAAACCAAGGCTAACAGAATTGCGTTGTCATATGAGAGAGTAAGTTGATTGATCATAAATTCTATGAAGATATTGTTTAGTTTCTATGTCTTGTATAACTTATATTTGTTCAAAAGGAAGGGAGACTGTTCATATAGACAACACAGGATGACTGTTAACTGTCTTGCTTTGTCTATTATTCAGTTACAGTTCACTTTTAAATTCGATGTGGTTATCTGAATAAAATCTTGTAGAATACTTAGTCATATAATCAACAACCAACAGAGAGTGCTGGACAGCTGTTTCGTCCTAGTTTGGGACTCTTCATCAGTACGCACCCACCGGGGTTCCAACCGGGGACCTTCTTCTTACAAGGCGACCCAGCTCGCAGACCATTAAGCCGTTGGGACCCAATCCACTGTCCAGCCAGTCCATGAATTCTAACTTCTGCTAATTGATGACATAGCGCGAACACTTCGCAATGTCTTCTTCAGTGGGTTACTGCCTCACCTTCAATCTGCTGTACTGTGCTAGTCACGGCTTCCCACTGGATCCCCAGGTTAACTGTTTGAATAAGGCCAGTCGTTAGCGAGCATCAAATTAATGTTCAAGTATTCGTTTTTTGTAGGGATTTTGTTTGATTAGTTGGAGGATTTCATCATGAGCTGACATCAGTTACAGAACCATTAGAAAAACTGGGAGTAGGAGTAGGCGTCATTCTATCTGCTGATCTCTCCTGGTCGTCTCACATCTTAGCAATTTCTAAGAAAATATTCCGTCTTACCTTCTACATTAAGAAGTTAAAACATTCTGGTATTACCCAACCCTTACTCCTACAATTCGTTAACTCTCGCATCCTGCCTATTATTCTCTATTGTTCCCCCTTAGTTTTTCCCGCCCGGGCTACTGAAGAAAGACTATAAGATATTACGCAGGATGTTAAAGGTTGTCAGGAGGGTATGCAACGTGCCACTTAACCAGCTTGTTAATATTCTGGTAGACAGGCACATGGACTCATGTGAAAAATGGGCCAAATCTATTTTATCTAACTCACACCACCCTCTTCACTCACAGCTCTCCCCTTGCATCTCATCAGGTAAAACCAGAAGCCAATATAGAAAACTATATGCTCGCACCAGCAAGTACAAAAACTCAACCATACCCTACTTAGCTCGTGTTCTGTGTGATAAAGAAAGCATTAGGCGTGACACCTATAATTCATTAAATAGTCAGTAGTACAACTGGACCTCGTCTTTCCAACTCATATCATTTATGGATACAACGTTTTCCTTCTTCCTTTTCCTTTTCTCTCTCTTTTCCTCTTTTTTCCGTTATGTGCTGCTTTGCTTCTTTCTCTCGCTTACGCCAGTAAATATGACAGCTCCCACTTTTCTAACACCTTCAAACACTGTTTCAGCTTTTCCTTTGCTACCGACATGCCAATGTGTTTTTGTCATAATGAACTGAGACTACCCTTAATCTATGTAGAATTCTATTTATTGATAATGTACTAACTGGATGCAATACTGTAGTAAAAATGCTGAGAACTCCATTCTGTATCACAAGTACTGTTTTGGAATAAAGCAAATTATTATTATTATTATTAAAAAAAAAACAGCTGTCCAGTACTCCCTTCTGGATTTCCAATGGTTCTCTAACTGACGTCGGCTGATGAGTAAATCCTCCAACCATTCATAATGGTATA